AGGACCCGTCCATCGCCGCTTGCGGCTTTAATTTGAATTTGGCACCTTAACGAGCACCCTGGTAATGTTTTTGTACTTGTGGATCTTAGTAGATCGATCATAGAAACATTTCTGTGTCACCTTCAACACAGTGCAGACTAGAAGTCTCCAATAATCAAGACTAGATTAAGATTAAGTTTAGTTTGAGTCATATGAGTTTATTAAATACCTTCAGCAGGATCCATAAGAGCATCTCCAAAGTGACAGATTTATGCATGAGTAACAGTGCTAACTTCATTAATTATCTATAATTATAACTTAAACATGACATGGAAACAGGATCAAGTCAGGATCTAACAGCAGGTCACACTGTGGACTTTTCTCCACATCAGACAGGTGAGCTGACACATAGAAGCTTGAGCCGACGTGCACTGCTTATGCTACCACGTAATGCCGTCAGAATGACACATATCCCGTGTCTGGAAAGAGCACAGAAGTTGGGTTTTTGTGTCTGCATGCTATGCTTGGAGCTACATCCAGGAGGTCATTAACCCTGGTTTGCGCAAGGACTGGAAACATTTGGCCTCGCTCTGTTCAGAGGTCGCAGCCTGTAGACACCAACAACATCTGAGGACCTCCTGGTTAACATGTTACTGCTCTGTTTATTCTGTACAAAAACTAAGTAAATGAAACATTCACCTTCATGTTGAACCATTCCTGCAGAATAAATAACTTACTGGAGTGTCTGCTGCTCGTAATTCACTAGAGTGCTTCTTTTACAGCCACCTGGTCCTAGTGCTGTTCATGGGTGTAGGTTTCATTTGAACACTGGGGGGGACGCATTAAGCAGGGAGTTTGGGAATCTTCCTCCGGAGGATTTTGAGCAACAAACACTTCATTTACAGCATGCTGGTGAATTTTTATGCACCAATTTGTGCCTGCATCAAGTTATGATGGAAACGTCTTTATTTATGTAAAGGAAAACACTTAATTCAGGCACAATGAGTTCCACGTGTTCTAAATACTGATGTTTACGTCTATGCTGGTTTTGTTGTGATGATGAAACACTCTGCAAATTCTTATTCCAATCTACTTAAAGGTAATACACTATGTAAATGCATAGTCAGTCTGTTGAAGTTTTTGAAGTCTAATCTGACAAATACCGAGCTCCAGATTAAATTTGCTGTTGTCTCTGCTCGAACACAACTATCTGACAGCGCTGTCAGTGGAGGAACTCTTATCTCTGCCTCTTCCAAGATGGATTTTGTCACCAGCATGATTTCTGAGTGTCACTGCTAAATGGCAGCTTGAGAGAGAACCACTTGATTCTGAGCGACAGGAAAGGCAGATTATTACTATTATTTACTGATATTTCCATTTATCAAAAAAGTATGTAACCACCGACATCAGGCCACACGGGGACCATAAAACACACCAATCATCAAAATGAGCCTCGGTTGCTATATGCTAGAACTGCTTTAAAGAAGATTTCTTGTTTAAATCCAGTTTGTTGTAATTTGGGACTCTTGACAGCTTCATAACTAATTGCATACCAGCCTTAATTGAATTCTATCAAACCAATATATACTGTACTTTATGTACACCCTATTATTAAAGTGCAGCTCCTTAAATTAGAAAAGCCCATTCACAAAATTTATGTCACACAGTTATCCTACCTTGTCTGGAAGGCATCCAGTGCCTTAGGTATTCCCACATTCACCTCACACCATGTCCAATTAGAGGCAAGAATAGAAAAATTACTGCAAGGTTGCCTCCTGTCACTACTCATTTCAGGAAATGCTCCTCACAGAGAGCTTGATGAGGCAAGTGTCGCATATCTACGGTAGCTCGGCCAGATGGTTGGGCCTGCGCTGCTGCAAGGGAAGGGTATGACCTCCAGGTGTACCCAGGCCCTTTCTTCCAATGAGCTGTCAAAGCTTACATGTTAATGGCTAAATGTAATTTCTGTGAGGGAAAGGTTTCATTAGGTCATTGTCTGGGGTATGTTGAGTAATCGGATTTTGTTCAGATATGAATATGATATTAAAGATATAGTATGATAAAAGAAAAATCTGTATACTGTAAGTAATATTTTGTTGGACATTAATGTGATGGAAAAGCCTTCTTCATGATTTTTACACCGTGAGTCACTAAAGCTCTCCATTGAAACTCATGTGTCCATTCAATGTCCAGTCAGTATTTCTGGCTATATAGCAGCATACAGTGCACACACATTCCTACATTTATTTGCTGTCTCTCCGAGTTCAAAGCCACCAAAAACAGGCCAGACCAAAAGAGCCCCCGCAAACGGAGCTAAGCCGCCCAGAGGGTTATTTTAGAAATGCGCTAGGTGTCTCGAGCTCCGCTGCCCTTGTTCAATCACTTCTGCTTAAAGTGGCCCTGGAGCCGTGGCTCTCTCTGAGGCCTGTCTGTGCTCTGTCACCAGTGGTTGCAGTCGGAGAGGCAGCCGGCCAACTTCACTGAAGTTGTGGAGGAGCTGTTCCAAGTCATCCCTGATGAGGTGCTTTACATGGACGCCAGCCCCGAGCGCTGCAGGACCTGCGCCGTGGTGGGGAACTCTGGGAACCTCAAGGGCTCCCATTACGGCGGCCTGATTGACTCTAGTGATTTCATCATAAGGTCAGTTAACACTTCAGCCTGTGGTCTCATTTTGAAAGCAATACAGTCACACATGGTTTTTCTATTATATTGACTTGTTTTTGTCACTGACAACAGACTGACTTTTATGATTTTCGATTAAAAGTTGAGTTTCTTATATTTTGTCTCATTTTCACATGTTTAATAAATAATAATAACAGTTTATACAGCAGGTGCAACTCCAAAAGAAAATAGAATTAAATGGAAAAAATAAAAGTAATAGTGAGACAATAATGTGATACAATACCAAAGTCCATAATAAAAATAATAAATAGATCTAACACCAGTACATTGAAAGTACATAAACACTACATACACACAAGTGTTAAACGATGAGTTTGAAGATTTTGTTTGACATTGTCTGCTGAACTAGATGCTCAGAAGTCTTCTGGAACTGTCTTCCAGGTGACTCCGAATGCAGCATCTCCATATGTCTTAGTTCTACTCTGGGAGAGCGTTAGAGGATCTTAGGGATGGAGATTGGGCGTGCCTAACTAGTAAATCAAATAATATTAAAGCTTGGTTATTAAGAGATTTAAATACTAAAAGCCTTTAAAACATCATGCTCTCTGTGTTTAGTTTTGGTGGGAAGATGTTGCATTTTGAGGTTTGACATCTGAGATCTGTTTCAAGGTTTCTTTGAAGCACCAGTAAACAGGAATATGTGCATGCGGGTGTTATTTCTGAGATTGTAAAATGCATGTTTCTGAGCTAGGATTAACAATCAAAGATGGCACAGAGGTTCTTTACTTTACGAGTGCCAGCTTTTTTAAATAAGCATTAAGCTGAGCACCTCAGTTTTGTTGCTGTTAAGCTGCAGAACATTTTATGTAAGATTTTTTTTGAGCAACAAGACAGTTTGTCACTTGGGTCATCCAGTGAAAAAGAAATGTATAACTGTGTATCATCAGCATAGGTATGAATTTGGTGCTCTCATGATGATTTCCAGTGGCAGCATAAACACATTAAAAGATGTTGGTCCCACTTTGGACTCCTGAGGGACACCACAGGTGACTTCAGTTTTAGATGACACCAACTCAACCAGAAACGTAAAGACGCCATTTATATCAAAGAATAATGTAAGAACTTGGAAACACAGTGAAGGCAAGAGACTGGAGCACTTAGACGATCAGACATTTTAGAAAGAATATTCCTACCACTTCAGAGGTAAAACTGAAAGATTACGACCAAACGTTTGGGACACAGTGACACAGTTCATACAATAGCGGCAGCTGCAGTCGCTGAAAGTTGGACCAGGAAACAAGTCAAATGATGTCTAAGAAATGATTTAACTTTGACTTGTGTGCTCTCTTGCCTAACTGAGTGTGTTCAAAGTACTTGTTCTGTCTGATCAACAGTCCACAACTCAGTGTCGTGCAATTAGCAGTGAAAGAAGATTAGGATAAGCAGCAAATATTCACATTCAATTAAGCTGGAATTAGGACATTATTTTTCTTTATACTAAGAAAGTCACACAGACAATTATTAGAATAGTGTCCTGACAGGTAGAATGCTGAATTTTTACTGACGCTTTATCAACGCTGGTCATGTCAGGAGCTTTTTGAATAAAGATCTTTAGGGTTATTTTTACCTTTGTTCAGAGCTGGACTATAGAGAGGCAGCAGGGAGTGAGGGCATGGTTTGAATCAAACATGGCTTTTAGCAGCACACTCTGTGTCTCGGTGACCTGAAAGGCTCATATATTTAGCTTTCACCGAACTGAACCTGCTGAACTTATTTCATTCAATTCGCTCCTAACTTTTAGTCAGTATTTCAAGGCTCTTTGTGACTGTACGCCTTTATTCTATCTTGCCACTGTAGCACTCATTAACACCGTCTCCGACACACTTCTTCCTGCTTCGTCTTGGCCTGCGCTGAGCTGAAAGGTGCGGCTGGAGATTTCACTTCCCACATCCTTGTTCTGCACTCAATAAACATTTGAGAAAATTATTTTAACAAAGCAGCAGATGAAAACAGTAGAGTTTGAATATTCAAATGTTTATCTCGTGCCTCCGGGCAGCAGAAAACAAGAGCGGAGTTTGTCGCTCTCTATAATCTGTCACACCAATTGCAGCTCGGCAGAGAAAGAATTGGAAAAGATGGAAAACACGACAAGGAGATTTTCTCGGAGGGATTGTGGGCGTGTTCTGTTCTGCAAAACTGCTGGCTTTATGATAAAAAATTAAGCTAATTTGGATGTCAAAGGGTAAATAAACATTCTCACTCAGACACTGTCCATGCGGTATCTTCAGGCTAGACAAGCCACAGATTTGACTCTGCATTGGCAGGATAAGTTGAAACTCAGAATAAGAATTGATGTGTTTATCGAGCTGAAGACTGCAGGGGTGGAATATGCAAATTCCTAAAGAGTGGGGTGATATTCTCTTGAATTGTTCTATTATTAAACAAATGTAAAGACTAGTCTGCAGCTACTTATCTACTCCATGGGAATAAAAATCAGTCAGTGTCCAAAGATTGATTCTGCACAAAAATGAATCCCTTACAGATTATTATTATTATTGTTATTATTGTTATTATTGTTATTATTGTTGTTGTTGTTGTTGTTGTTGTTGTTGTTGTTATCAGTAATCGTAACAATAATTATTATTTACTGGGAGCAACAGCAGATGATTCTCATTTTTGAACTTAAAGTTTTAAAGCAATGACATTGATATGATATCGACCCAATAATGATTTGGGAACACACAGTCCTGTGAATGTGAGACTTAAAAAAAAAACAATGCATTTCAAATATCCGCAGTGCAATTCACCCATATCCTCTAAAGCCTCCTTTATGGATTATTATGAATATTGAACGACATTGGCCTATCGGCTAAAGCCTCTTGTTTGCTCAGCAGATTGCAGTGGAAAAATAGATTTGAGTCATAAAAGGAGACTTTCCATCTGCTTTTGACAGACAACAGAAACCTCTGTGCCTTTTGAATAATGAAATGTTATAAAGGGTATATTTGTGAATCACTGTGACACCACTCTGGTTATAAAATTAGATTGAAATTATGTTTTTGTTGTTGCTGTTGTTGTTGTTTCTTTTGCTTAAAACATTTCATCTCAAGAGAATGAAGTTCACACTATGCCCACGTCCACTGTAGATAAGAAGTAGATTTTAGACACAACTCAACAGTTTTATCTTGTAAATGTAAAAATACGGCTAACTTTATGGAGTTGAAGACAGAGATGATGGAATAACTCTCCTGTAGCTTGGACACAAACAGAGATAAGGGAGAATGATTTGGACAATAACAAACACAACAGGTTTGGTGAAGGTTTGTCTCAAATCATGATCAATTATATGTAATAGAAAGGGCAACAGAAGGTTAAGGAACTATCATAGCAAAGAAAACAAAACAAAACACTTCAGGTTCGTAAAGGTAGGTTTAAATTGTGATTTTTTTTCCTCTAAGGTAGTAATTGATAAGCTGATGTATGTGATCACTAAAAACATTTTAGCAAGGAGAGGTAACTAAAAGATTAAAAGTCATTGCAGAAATATGATTATGCTAAATCACATTAGTGACAAGATGTACCTGGGACTCTTCATGAGTCAGATAGGACTGAAGAAGGTGAAACATCTTCAAGAACCAAAAAGAGAAGTCTATAAAACACACACACACACACACAACTTCTGATGATGTTTTTGTTGACTACAACAAATTCAAAAGTATTAATTTTAATCAAAAGACAAGACTCTAAAATCCATTCATTTATTATACAGTTACAGACAGGAAGTAGTTTAGCCTACAGTGAGCAGCAAATTTAGATTTCTAACACTTAGCAATTATCATCATTTTTGCATCATCTCTGCAGTCACACAGCAGTAATTTTCACATCTGTAGGACTGTCAGCTGAAGTTGGTGTACATACCACAAGCAAAACCTTTCATTCCATCGTAGGAACTATACAATTCACCACTCGTATATCGCACATGTCTCAGAGGGTAAATACAGGGCAGTATATAGTAAAAACCTGACACCACTATCAGGTGGCATTTTAAAACTAGACACAGCAGTTTGAGCCTCTAGAATAAATGCCAGGATGCTTTGAAAGTGGCAGAAACAACCACTCGCCGAACTGATTCTGTGGGTGACAGAAGAACTCTGTTACGATCAATAGCAAATAGGTTTCATGATGATGTGACTGACACAAAGATCCTGTCACGAGAGTAACCAGAGGTCTTCTTAAATATCCAAAAGCACATTTCATGCAGCATTCTTGCATGGCTCTTAATTTATCACAGCACGGCTTTGTCAACCTGCTGTGACATGTTGCCTCCGTATAAAGCCACATTACCGCACTTATCTTCTTTTCCAGCCCCCGCTGTGACAGCAGCATGGTATTGTCTACCAATTCAATTATCGGATGACTGGGACAGCACCAAGACAAGACTTATTACTTTGCTATTAGCAGAATAGCTTCCTGCAGAAGCACGGTATGGAAATGTGCTGCTTGCTTTTTGTTTACTCTAGCCAGAGGATCACATTTGGAGTCATGCTTGGTTGGAAGCTGGGGTGCTGAGCCAAAAGGTCACCCTAGTTATTCAGGAACAAGCCGTGTAGTGTGGAACAGGCAGGGTTTTGTTGAGACCCAATGAGTTGATTGAGCTGAAGGCTGCAGGGGTGGAAAATGCAAATTCTTAATGAGTGAAGTGAAATTCCCTTGAATTGTTCTCATAATAACCTTTTGAAATCTGTTATTGAGTTATCTACTGCAAGTATTCATAAGATTGCTTCTGCACAAATGACTGCCTTCTAGATAATCCAGATAGCTTTAGAAGATACTTACTGTGAGCAACAGTGGATGACACTCATTTTCAAACTAAGTGTTTTAAACCAATGACGATGATATGATATCAACTCACAAATGATATGGGAGCACAGTCCTGTAAGCGTGAGCCGAATAAGAAAACTATGTTTCACATATCCACAATGCAATTCACCCAGATCCTCTAAAGCCTCCTTCACAGA